TTTTAATGGAAACACCAGCTACTAAACCATGTAGAGGCTACCTTTAGTAATAAAATCCAATCTAAAATAAAATGGTAGAGACGTTAACATCTTTGATTTCTCACACCTTCAACAAAATTGACCTCAACACCTTCACATTCAATTCTATTGCATCATACTATCACTCAAAAAGTCTTCATGCAGTCCAGCTTTCCTGTTGCACAAAATCAAAGAATAGGAAACCCTTATTTATCACAAATTTCACTACTAGTAATATTTCTTCCCTCTCATTTTATTTGTCCATTATTCCATTTTTAGTTCTCCTAAAAAAATACATGTTTACTTTGAAAATTTAAATTTTAAATTTAAAAATTTTCAAAATTGTTCCTTGTAAGTAATTATAAATATATTTAAAAATGATAATAGAAATGCATTTTTTGAATTAATGCTTTAAAATTTAAATTCAAATAATTATATATCTCCTTAAAATGTTGGACTTTTTAAAAAGAACTATAAAGATGGGACAGAGGGAGTATAATTTCAGTATTGAGTTTGTTTAAGTTTTATAATATAGGGTCGTTTGGGAAGATTTTTTTTTTTTTTATTTTTTGAGCTAAAAGACAAAACAAGTTAAAATAGTCAATAAGTCAAAATGTCATATTAAATCTATAATTATTTTTTTTTCACAAACATCGCATTTAACTACAAAAAAAATTTAACTATATTCCTAAACGCAACTATTTTAACCTACTAAAATAAGAATTTTTGGTGAAATCCCATTTTTGGGACCTATTTTTAGGGTAAAGGGCAGCTTAATTAATTTAGTTTCAAAAAGTCTCTGACAAAGTGGCATGTAGCTTAGCAAGGACACACCATAATTTGCTCTTCTTTTGTGGACAATGTTGCCCTTCCATATATATATATATATATATATTGTGTTTAGTTATGATAATTTTTGTTTTTTAGTTATGACTAAAAAAAATATGAAATTATAATTTTTTTTTTTATAATTATAAGGTGCATATGATACATACATTTTGATAGTGGTTCCTTACATATGTTGCAACATTTATGAGATCAATTGGATATTTTTATTACCTGTTAAAAAAGAAGAAGATATTTTTATTATCACCCAACTGAAAAATGAACAAAAACATATTATGGAAACGTGACCCTATAAAGCCCAATAGGTTCAATTGAATTGTCTGCTCGGGAGAATTTAATCTCCCAATTATATTTAAAGTCGTGCTTCTCTGTTCGATTATCCAGTCCACTGGAGAAATGACAAATTCATATATATATATAAATTCTATATAAGGAAATATTGATACATTTAGTTTTAAGAGTTTTCTTACGAATCAATTAGTTCTTTTTATTTTGAAAAGTTTTATTTATTTAATTTGGTATTATTTGAGTTAAGTGAATGCATTTTTGTGATTTATTTTGTTAATTTCTCATGAGTTTTTGGGATGGGAATGGAAATGTGAGGATGAAAGATTCTTTTTGAGGAGATTCGTAACTGAAGTGTTAGTTATCGAACATTGAAATTTCCATTTCTGTTAGTGTAATTTTTTAGTATTACATCAGAGTGTTACATTATAGTGCTACGTTTGGAAAAAGTATATAAAAGAATTTTTGCGTGTTATATTGATAGGAGTGTTACGTTTGGAAAAAATATATATACTAATCAGTTCTTTTAGAATATTACATTGTTACACTTGAGAAAAGTATACTAAAAGGTTTTTTAGTGTGTCATATTTGAGTGTTACATATGGAAAAAGTACACTAAGAAGTTTTTTTTGAAATGTTACATCATTACATTTGAGAAAAATATACTAAGGAGTTTTTTAATATGTTACATTAGAGTGTTGCGTTTAAAAAAAACATAGTATAATGAGTTTTTGTGTGTTACATTGATTAGAATGCTACGTTTGAGAAAAGTACATTAAGAATTTTTTTTGGAATGTTACGTTATTACATTTGAAAAAAATACATTTTTTTTTGTGTTACATTGGAGTGTTACGTTTTTTAAGTATTATATTAGAATATTATATTTAAAAAAAGTACACTAAAGAATTTTTTTTAAATGTTACATTTGATAATTTCAACGTTATAAAAAAATTCACATTTATCCATCAACACATAACACACGCATTTATCGACCCTCATATAATTCACACTAAAATAAGACTTTTCAATTCATACAAAAAAAGAAAAGATAAATAATTCATAAAATTACTATTTAAAATTTATTAATACTTCACTCAAAAAAAAAAAAAATAGTATAAACAGCTTCACCATTATTGAAAGAAGAATCATAATTTAGGGAAAGCATAATAAAGTTTGGTGATATTATACGCTCAGATTGTCCGGGTCTTCCTAAGTCTCTGATTCCTCCTGGTATATATCAAACAAAAATTCTAATCAACTTGGGCCTTTAAAAAGTATTTTATGGGCCCACTTTTCACTTAACAGCGCCCAAAGTTTATTACACAACAAGAACATGGCCAGTCAACAAAGCCTTTTTTAAGAAAAAAAAATTCCATTCAATATTTCTTATATATTAATTAATATCTTGAAATATATTTCAAAAAACTTGTTCACCTCTTATAATTTATCATGTGAATCAATTTAGGAGTAGAAAACAAAAATACATAAGACACAAGCATTACTTTCTTTTCGAGCATGTTTGTTTGCCAGTATAAATATGAGAATTGAACTATGAGCGAAATGGATTCCACTCATAGTATGTTTGGTTAAAAAAGTTGTAAAGGAATTCACATTTTAATTGGAATAGTGGTCCACCACTATGGGTGGATTAGCAAAGATGGGTGAGAGATGGGATTGATAGTAAAGGACTATTTTGTCACTTAGTTTCAATAATTCTAATTCCACTCATAGTATATTTGGTTAAAAAAATTGTAAAGGAATTAACATTTTAATTGGAATAGTGGTCCACCACTATGGGTGGATTAGAATAGGATTGATTGTAAAGGATTATTTTATCCCTTAGTTTCAATGATTCTATAATTATGTAATTTCACAAGTTTTAATTCCAATCAATTAATACTATCTCTACTACAAAAATAAACAAATATACGCTATCTTATATTTTTAAAATTATTACATTATTAATTTTCTCACTTAATTTTATTAAATTTATAATTATATTTAATTTAATCCGTCAAATAAACATAATAATATTTACAATTGTTGATGTAGTCTGCAGAAATTTGTAAGATTGTAGAGGGAAAACAAAACCAGAACATGATTTAGAATTAAAAAATGGTAGTTCTGCTCCTACGACTGATTTCCATGACATTGCTTCATGCTCATACAAAAATTGAGTAACATAGAATTCCCAACTCCCAACTGAAATATTCTACAAAATCTAGAACAGAGGTCCAAC